TAAAAGGTGAAGGTAGTGTGGTTGTGAAGACCTATGTTAGTAGCCACAGCTGCCATAGGGACTTGAACACTAAACAAGCAACTGCTTCTTGGGTTGCTGGGGAATATCTACCTATGATTAGAAAGAAGCCTAAGATGAAAATTTATGACTTAGAGGATTCTATCAGTGAAAAATATGGTGTGCAACCCTCTAGGTGGAAACTGTACAAAGCAAAAACTAAGGCTCTTAAACTGCTTAGAGGTACAGAGGAGGAGCACTATGGAAAACTTAGGAGGTACATTGCAGAGCTTCAAAGGGTTGATAGAAATGGCACATTTCAGCTGAAATTGGAGAGTGGCGGTGTATTCAAATGTTTTTATGTTGGTTTTAGTGCACTAAGACAAGGTTTCTTGCAAGGCTGTAGGCCAATTATTGGCCTTGATGGGGCTTTCTTGAAGACCTTTTTAGGAGGTGTATTATTGTGTGCTGTTGGCAAGGATGGGAACAACCAGATATTTCCTTTGGCATGGGCAGTTGTGGATTCTGAGAATGAGAGCAATTGGAAATGGTTTCTAGACATACTTTTTCAAGATTTGGGGATATCAGATGGACTTGGATGGACATTTATCAGTGATCAGCAAAAGGTTAGTTCTTTCAATATGTGCACTAATATATTTCGTTGTTTGGCTTATCTTTAATATATTTCTGACTTATCTCATTATGTAGGGACTCATTGCTGCTATAAGGGACCTCTCACCACATGCAGAACATAGAAATTGTGTACGACATGTGTACATGAATTGGAAGAAATCATACAAAGGCAGTGCACTGAAGAGCTGTTTCTGGAGGGTAGTGCATAGCACACACAAGGCAACATATAAGGAAGCACTTGAAGGGATGAAGGCAGTGGCTAAGGAGGCTTATGATGATTTCATGGGCATGGAAAATTTTAGGTTCTGTAAAGCCTTTATCCTTGAGAATCCAAAATGTGATATGATACTTAATAATGTATGTGAAACTTTCAACAGTACCATAGTGAAGGTAAGAAAAAAACCATTTGTTGAAATGCTTAAGAGTATTAGAACTTATGTAATGGAAAGGCAGCATCACAAACTAATGTTGACTAGTGGACTGAATGACACAATATGTCCTAGGATAAGGAAAAAAATTGAGGAAAATAAGTTGAGAAGTAGGTTGTGTGTGACAAAACCTGCAGTGGGTGAAAAATTTCAAGTTGCCATATCAGATGATCAGTTTGTGGTTGATTTGAAGTGCATGACATGTAGTTGTAGAAGCTGGGATATATCTGGTTTACCATGTATCCATGCTTGTTCTACAATTCAGTACATGAAGAGGGATGTAGTGGACTTTGTCAGCCCATACTTCAGTGTAGAAAGAAATTTGAAAGCATACTCTGTTAGTCTTGAACCATTAAATGGGCCTAAAATGTGGCCTGAAGCATCTGGGTCCACTGTGAAGCCACCTCCATTTAAAAAGATGCCTGGTAGACCTAAAATAAAAAAGGAGAAAAGCTCCTGAAGAAGAGGCCAAGAGTGACACTAAGCTGAGGAGATTTGGACTACAAATGACTTGCCAAAAATGCAAGAAAATTAGGCATAACATCAGGACTTGCCCCAATGAAGCTGCTCCTGCACAGACAAGAGTAAGTTTAATTGTCTTTGCTTATTTATAAACTTTTATAATGCATTCTGTTCATATCTGATGTAGGGGAAAGCGTACGAATGGGAAGGATAAACGAGTAAACGAGATACTCTCTCGTAAAACACGCAAAACTTTCAATATCTTATTTCATATTCAAAATCAACTCAAAATCAACTGAATAAAACAATAGATGAGGAGTCCTTTAAATAAGGCTCATAAC